CACATCACCAATATTTTCGAGTGTAGATCAAAACTATTGGGAAAAATGACAAATAATCCAAAACCAAGGTTTGAGACATGGACTAAGAGTACCATATTTCACTTCAGGTACGTATGTACACCAACAACCTCAAGAAGAAACTAACGGGTGGGCCAGATAAAACCGGCCATTTTTGTTCTTGCTTTTTGATCCCCTTTCCCGTGGTTCCAATTACTCATTTTATGCTCAATCGATAGAGAATTTTCTGCACTTTTAAACCATATGTTTTATTTAAAAAACATATTCACATCTTTTCTGCAACATTCGATAAACTCGATTAGTTCAACAGTCCACACTGCGACGCACGACTTCTGTTCGGATCTTTTTCACACCGGGCACGGATTTGATAAATTAAAGTCTTTTTATTCGTTATTTGGCCTCAGTTCATCTGCTCACACAGTTCGTGCCAAATGGAATAGTCGAGAGGGTTGAGATCGGGCGAATTTGGTGGCCATCTCGATTTTGGCCAAAAATCCCAAAAATGATCCTTGCACCATGTTTGCGTGTGATGATCTTTGTGCGCTGGTGCCCCGTCTTCTTGAAATGTAAACTCATTTCCCATCAACTTCTGACCATCTTCTAGTGTGATTGGCAGTATTTTATCAATATACTTTTGATGATTTATCGTACCATTTTCAATGATAACTGGGCATGTCACGCCGTCATAACATACGCCTAACCAAACCATCACACCTTGAGGAAATTTTGTTTTTCGGAAGATGCCACCATTTTCATCAGCTTGTTCACGATTCGGAGCATATATTCTATCATTTTGACGGTCATATACATCGTCAATATCGAATCGTTTCTCATCCAAAAACAAGATTTTTCTTACCAATGATTTTCTGACATTCTTTCTTGCCCAAATTCCAAACGAAAATCTTTTTTGTTTTTGTGTGTCTGTGAGCTTCGATGCAACACGTTTGACATACGATTTCAGACCCAGATCATCTCTAATCACTCGACGAATGGTTGTTCTTGATACATTCAGTGATTTGGCCAATTTTCTTGCAGATTTTTTCTTCTTGTTACGCAGAAGATGTTGTTTCACCTGTTGCACCAATCTCTTTGTTCTTTTGGTACGTTTTGGAACAGATGGACTTTTCAAACTGAGCTCACCGAATTCGCGACACATTTTTACTCAGTCGTTGATCGTTGTTTTGCTGACTTGACCCACGAGTTGATTCGAAATTTGTTGGCTACTCAAGCCTTGTTCATGTAATCGCAGTATCACCTTTTGAAGGTCGTCACTTTTCACGACTTTTCGAACAAATGGAAAATATATTTTATCTACAACACTTACAGATTTGTAGAGCGGAAAATTCTGTATCGATTGAGCATAAAATGATTATCTGCAACCACAGTTAACGGGACCAAAAAAACAGAACAAAAGTGGCCGGTTTTATCTGGCCCACCCGTTATTTTTGATTATGGAAAAAGACAAACAAGAAACTATTTAAATAGGTGCATAATTCAAGGAAATACACCAATACTCCAAGTATTTTCTGAAACAATACTAGAGAAACAGACAATTAAATGCTGCCCATCGTCGGGTAGCAATTTCGAAGAACAGACAAAAAAGAGTAAAATACTTATTACACTCTGTTGTCTTTGCTGCCGGTATGTAAGTAAATGAGTTATTGGCGGCGTCTTGTTTACTATTTGAATGGTAAAACGTTTTCATATGATCCTGTAACAAAAAATGTTCTCCTAATTAAGGGCTACATGCTCATATAAAGTGAGTCTCAACAGATGAACTTTACTATCAAAACAGCCTTCTCTAACTTTCTGCTTGTTTTCTCACGGCAAAGTTAACTGTACATTAATACCTGATTTAACTAGTAGTCCATCAAACGTATAACTTCAACATTTATATCGAGGCGATTTTTCGATCTAGGATACTTAGCATTAACTCGCGTGTGGTGAGGATAGTGAGCAATACGTTAGAGTAAGCCATTGCTTGCCCAAGATATTTTCTTCTGATATGTCTACAGGACGGAACGACGACCCTGAGCTGTCGATAGTTAACTTGTCTTGTCATTGAGTTAGCTTTCATGAATAGGACCCTAAACTTCAATGCTGCCGAGAAAGATCGTGCTATTACGGGTAAAATCACTTTCTGCGGTGGAATGTTCGTTTGTGTTTTATGTAAGCCCAATTCTTTCAGAATACAAACGGAAAAATTCTATTACAGTATTATGACCTATAAAACTATCGAAAAACAAAATCGATTTTCCACGAATAGAAATTCTAATACACGAACTTAGCTTTGCGGTAAGCTGCAAACTAAATCCACTGTTCGTAGTTTCGTCAAGTAATACGAGCAGTTGACAAAAAATTCGGTCTATGGTGCTCCAGGATTATGACAAATGTCACTTCAGCAGAGCTCTAGGGGTTCAGAGGTGTCAAAGCTGAACTGCCTTTTTTTAGTATTATGTGACCTGCGATAGACGAATGTTTTCCATTAAACATTGAATTGAACATTTTTCACAAACTTTTTACTTTTCGTTTTTTTCTTTTCTTTCGTTATAATCCCGTGATTGTTAGTTTCATTATACAACGCTTGGGTAGTGATATTATTGACTAACTGACATTTTATAACATTTTAATATTCAGATTGAAGCTCTAAATTGAAATGCTTTAATCGAAAAATCACCTTAAACTAAATGATGACGTTGAACATTGGACGCATTCAGTTTTGGTTCGAAAATCCAGTTTATGGGCTGCGGTGGCCATATACGGCGAGTGACAACCGAGTACTGCAAACGTATCACGCCGCAAATGGCCGCAAGTTGACGTAATTTGGCCGTAATCCTATGCTCCGTAACACGGCAGCCGTAAACAACCTTTTACGAGCCCGTTTACAGTTTGAGTTTTTGTCCCGTTCAGAAAATCAGTATTTGTCATTTTAAAAGCGAAGGAAACAATATTCTGGAAAACTGATTTTGCGATTCGATAGAGCTCATCGGATTCTATGCGGCACACTTATTTCCAAAGATGGCACAGCTTTAATAAGAAACGTTAGGCGAAAATATAGAAATCTGCCGCTAGTTTCTCTTACGTCTTTTCTTTTCGTTTTGATTGCTATCAACGTGTTTTTGATCGGAAAAATTAGAATATCAAAAAGAAAAAGATATAAGATATGTTCGTTCTCTTATTACGCAACTTACGTCTTTCGTGTCATCTCTACTTCTTATAAGCAGATCATGGAAGATCACAAAAAAATCGTTAGAAACAGGAAAAGAACGCGTTACAAAATTCCCATTTTTTTACCCGTTTTCGTGCGTTTTCTTTGGGTTACAACGCGTTTCATAAGGTTTGTTTCATTTTCCGTTCTCACGCGTTTTTCAAAAACAAAAACGCGTTAAAACAGTCGTTTGAACAACTTCGAAACACGTTACTTTTGCGTTAAAAACGTACAAAAACCGCGTTTTCAAACGTTCTAGAACACGTTTCAGAATGAAACATTTAACACGCTTTTTGATCGTTAAAAGTTTCAGGAGTCTGCAACTCTTGAATCATTTCAGAAACGCCTTTCATAACGTTTATTTCATTTTCCGTTCTCACGCGTTTTTATGCCATTTTTAACGGTTGAAAAATGCAACGAATCATTCACCTTCTTGTTTTGCGGTCAGCTGAGTATATAAGCACAATCGAAATATGGAAGAAATACCATTGTCTTTTCGTTCTTTTTCAGTTTTAGACCACCAGTTGTGTACTTCCTTTATTATAGCTTTTCACGATTTTTGGATCAGGTCCCACTGGGTAACCAAGTCTCACTGTTAGCTTAACGAAAATTCTGAAATGATTCAGGAGTTGCAGACTCGATCCCGAAACGCGTTTTTATTTCGTTTTTAACGATCATAGGACGCGTTAAATATTTCAGCATCATTCAGAATCTTTGGAAAGAAGATCATATCGTAAGATCTTACTACAAGATTTTACAAGAATACATCAGATCTTGCAAGGGCTTACGAGATGTGATTCACCTGGCGCTGAGAATTGTTTATAGATCTTCATAGTATCAGCTTTGCGCTCAGAAAGATTACGTTAAAAGAGAAGTTTAGAGTAGCGAAACGCTTTTGTCTTTGAAATGAAAAAGCCGCTTACAATTAGGGTGAATTTTATAACGAAAACGTCGTTGGAGTTACGAGTTACCAGCACAAACTGAACAGGATATAGTTATCAAGACGAT